TTTTTTTTTTTTTTTTTTTTTTTTTTTTTTTTTTTTTTTTTTTTTTTTCTCTTATTTCCTCACCTGGAGCCACGGGACATCGAATGCTATTTGCTCTTGGGGAACTATGAGGGACGAAATTGGATCACGAAACTATGATCCGACGTTTCGAGCTGGGGAAGATAAGACGCGCCAAGTGCAATAAAATACAACCTGAGGAGTTGAAAAAAAAAAAAAAAAAAAAAAAAAAAAAAAAAAAAAAAAAAAAAAAAAAAAAAAACGTTTAAAGAAAATTTTTTATATAAAAAAAATTCAACAAAGAAACAAAACACAGAATGTCTCTAGATTACCGATCATTCGCGCTCACTCCCTTACACGTATGAACAATAACAAAGGAAAACGCGCGATAACAATATAGTTGCGTACTCACTGATGTTGTCGATGGAGGGCACCTCCCTGGAGACTTTTAAATTAACGTGTTCCTTGAGTATGGCGAAGGTCGCAAAGACCGAAGCCGGAGCCATGTCTCGCCCAAGACCGCGTGCCCCTCAAACCACGTGTCTCCGAGTCACCCCCTCCACGTACAACACACGCGTGCACCTCGCAAAATCAAAAGAGGGGAAAAAAAATCACCACCAACAACAACAACACCAATGGTAATTTAAAAAATAAGCCGAGGGGGGCCAACCGATCGAAGCTCGAAACAAGTGCAAGGTACAGTGGGATGTTATTATCACGTCTGCGCGGGTCGAGTCACACTGTCCGGAAAACTCCGGAGTACATAATATTACGCACTTGAGCACAACACGAGGTTTTATCGAGAGCAGCTGCAGGGAGGCAGGGATTGGGGGGGGGACCCTAAAGTATAAAAGATCGAAAACGAGGAGAAGAGCGCGCGATTTCTCTCTCTCGCTCGTTATCGCGTGTGTCCGTGTACGTATATGTGCACGCAAGACGGTGATATTGTCTTTACTCGGGGTCGCGAGAGGAGGACGGAGAATATATACAGGGGGGATGCGATGCCCGCCACCGCCGCTTACCCGCGGCTCGATAAGAGCGATATACGATTGATAAGCCGCCGACCGACTCGGATGGGCTTCTATCGCGGATGAGAGTTGCTTGGGACGGAGAAACGACGGATTGGGTACTCGCTTCTTTCCTCGGTCTATAGCGCATCTAATATATATATACATGTTGCTTGGAAATAAGAAGGGTGCGTGATATTTTCGGGGGTTGGTCAGTGTCCTACTTACTCAATTTGATGTAACGAGTGCGAGAGGTCTGGCATTTTATTTTTGTCATCAAGATGAGTTGCGTAGGAAACACCTCAATATTTTACCATATGCTTCACAAAGTATGTGCATGGGTTATAAACTTTTTCACGTTTGTTATTTTTACACTCTATTCCACAGATGGCACGTAAAATTTTCACCATGTATAGTTGAGGTATCATGCGATGACGTAATAAGTAATGAAAAATGCATCGATTGCCAAAACCAAAAAATTAATAATTTTGCTAATTATTGTATTAATTGACTATTTTTAATTATTAATTAATTATGATTAAAACGTTCCCAAGTTACGAAATTTCGTGTTTTCGTGGTACCAGAGCAGTATTATTTCGTACGTTTCAGTTTTTAGTCAGCGTAAGCATGTGCGATACGCATCAAAAAATATGTACCTCATCAGATAAGCCAAGTGGGAAAACCTGTTTTTATTATTTCGTTCCAAAAGCTTCGAATAAAAGTTGACATTGTACGCGCAGGTGTCGCGTTTTGCAATGCAAAAGGAATTTTCGGTGGAGATAACACATCACATTTGAATCTTATCTGGGGGCGGGGGAGGGAGTTATGAAGTAATATTACGCCGAGCGACGTTTCATCATGGTATTAATGAAATAAAATTTTAGCCATACATGAAGTTTCAATTAGAGACACCACCCCTGCTCTAATGATCCATCGCAAACACCTCGTACATACATCTTTTTTTTTTCCCCTTCGAAATCGAAAGGCGTGGCGCAAATTAACGTGCGAAAAAAATATAACGTTTAGTTTTGGGACACCGGCACTATACTAATCATCGACGATGTCGGCGGTACTGATGCGTGATGCGAACAACAAGAGAGACGGCGCGTCACCTTATTTTAAAATCGCGAGTCATGCCTCTCTCTGTGTTTTTGCACGTGGGTGATGACAAGACGTAGGATATACGTCTACTTTGGACGATGAATGGAAGTGCTTTTTAAATTTGGACTGTTCGCTCTTCTTTAACGTTGACCTTGGTAATGATCCCCGTGTATTATTGTGCAATGCTTGGTTTCTCAAAAACGTCAGTGAAACTTTCAATCTGTATGTATTGCATATACATGTATACGTGTATCAGCGATACCCCTAAATAACGCTCGGAAACGTTAAAACAAACGTTTTTTCCTCACATTTTTGTACCGCAACAAAACATAATTGCAATAACGTTCTAAATACCTTACAAAAATAGGCTGGGAATTTCCAGTGAGTTTTCCAACTATAAAAATCACTTCTTCATTGTTTTCGCCTTATTTTCCTTTTAATGGGGTGGGCTCAATTGGTGCGGTAACCATCTGGATGACAGCACCGAAAGTAAGGGGTTCAGCCTAATTTACGATGATTTTCAGAAGTAATTGAATTTTGTTCTATTTATTTGACAAAAAGTAACGCAAAATGATGTTTTCAGAATACAACTACGATTTTCTTTTACAAAGTTGTAAAGCAGTATGGGTAAACAACGTTTTTCAACGTATTTTATGGGTTCATTAAAAAAGTAAAGCCTCTGCTGGCTGTGTAAAATTTTTTTGACAAGCGATAAAAGTACACGTACATTTGTTACGTAATGAATAAAAAACATGTATAAGTGTAAGATTGGATATTTAGGTACATCTATCAAATTCGACATGTACCAACTCTGTGTATAAAATAAATGTGTGAGAGCACGTGGCGAATGACACATTGGTCGACAAAGCTCGTCCGACGAAATTTCCAAAGTGAGTTCTCTCTCGGGTTTTTTCCCGATGCGTAATTATAAAGAAAAAAAAAAAAAAGTAAATAAATAGCCAACATCACCCCGATGATGAACAAAAGGTATATCTTGAGTAAACAGTGACGAATTGTATGGTTCTCGGCAACGATGTATAAACTTTTCACAGATGAGGTACGTAACGTGCTTTTTAAATCCCCGCGGCAAACACTTGCATATATCTCGGACACGATATATTTTCTTCCTCTCCCCCTCGTTCCCCGTCAACTGCGCTTACACACTATATTGATTGCTATCACCGTATATATATATATATGTGTGTGTGTGTGTGTGTGTATGCGATTGGATGCGGCTTTCAGCTGTTTTACGATCACAGTAATCCAGAGTCGTAGGTGGCGATGGTTATTAAAAAATTCAAGTCGGCGCGCACCGCGAGGGCCAATTAGGGCCATTTCGTTTTTTTTTTTTTGCGCAACTCCGTGAATTCAAACAAAGACGTTTTACGGCTCGTTCTTTTGCTTATCTCTCAATTTATAAACGACTATGTGCGGTTTTGAGTGCGGTACACACCAACACCCAAGTCGTTTCGTTTGCAAATAATTCTAAAAACAGAACCTGAATGACTTAAATTGGACCTTTGTTTGATGATGAATATACGTATATGTACACTTGGCGGTTTTAGGAGATACGTTTCACTTCCATCACCTGAATTTTTTGTCTTAGACCGCTTATCAGGCATGATACTTCACATGAATGTGCTGGCGTGGAAAATTTAAAAATATTTTCAACGCTTGGAACGTTTAACAACAAATTAGCCATTTTTATTACATTGTTGCATAGTACTGTAGAATTTTTTTTCTTGCACACCCATGCGTGCAATATACATATGTTACAAACATTGGGTTGACACGGTTGACTGACTGGCATCGTATATATTATCTGTCCTGATCTGTCTTCTATTTAAACGAGAGATCGAGAAAGATACGCAATATCAGCTACGTGTGCGCGCTCCAACACCCGTAAAACGCAACTATTTAGATTAAACAATCAGAAAAACGTTTCCAGGCATTGTCTTGGCGCTTAGCTATAAGTGGGTCTGTGGAATCGAGAAGTGATATAAAGAAGCTCGACGACGATAACACGTTCACATCGCGACATCCCTTTGTATGTATGTTCCTGCTTATAGGTAAACAGATAAGCCTATTTGCCGCCGTGTAGGGATGTATTTACATTCTTGAAACGTTGATGTTATAGATGCTTATTAGGTAACGCCCATTTGATTCGTTTGTTTTTTATACGTAAGAAATTCCTTTGACAAGACATTGATTGTCACGTGACCAAGTCCTATTTTTCACGTTTGGAGGGTTTTCGTGAGATTGACCACGTGGTTTGTTTGGGGCAGAAATTTTTTGAGATTTTTCTTTTCTTTTTTTTCCCAAAAAATAATTGTTTGTTTTTTCTCGCGTAACCATGAAATGATAAAAATTTGGGGGTTGACGCGTTAGCAGCCATTTAAATGATTTAAATTCGATAAAGTGCGGCTTTTTGTTATTTACTTGGAACAACCATTAGGTTTTCTCGTATTTTATCATTAAAATTAATTTCGTCGCCGAAAGATCACTCATTAAATACAGATCGAGTTCATAAGCTTAAACAGAACTTCACAAATGGTGGTTTGAAGTACTATACCTAACTTGGAACGACTACACAGTGTGAATAGATAACTCTCCGGAAGCTCTATTTTGGTGAAACTTCAAAGATATTTCCTGAACTTTTGTTTTTTCAATCATTGTTACGTTTACAGTACTGGAAACAGATAAACTTCCAAACTTAATCAGCTGAAAAGTATTGTAAATATTTCATATTATTGTTTTCAATTTTACTAATACTTACAATGCTAAATAGACGATGAAGAGAAGAGATAGATTTTTACTCTGCAAATATACTAGGAAATAACTATTGCTACATATTTTTTTTTTGGAGAGGGGTTCTGCAAAACAAAATTCTATTTTTTTTTATGTTTAATATATCTTTATCATGTCCTTGTAAAAGTTGATTTTCTAATAGTTCCAACCCTTTCGGGACTTTTTAATTTGTGCCCAAACTGTATATTGTATCAGAGGCAAAAAGCTCTTTAGGTATTCATCATTTCGAACGTTCTATTTTTCGATACCCTCAAGTAAACACACGCGTCGCTCTTGTCTCCAGACTCCTTTGTTTCTTTCCTTCACTATTTACTCCAAGCTTTGAAAAAGTATTATTCTTCGATTATGTGGTACACGTCCGGGTAATGGGAACGGTGATCTATAGTAATACATCCATATCTTGTCTGCTGTTCTCTCGTACGCGCACATCAAGTACATATTATGGCTGTGGCGTGTGGAGGGGGTTCACCTCGAAGGGGAAGAAACTAATTTGATGAATTACCCAATTTTCCATCTCTTACGCACACACGTAACACCCATGTTTACATCGGGATGAATCAAAACTATATGCACGCGATAGCGAAATCTTTCGGGGTTGATGAACGCTGCGCGCCAGCGACCTTTGATCGGTAAGTATTTATCATATGCAATTGCTGCGCTCGTGTACTATTGCTCATTAAATTCCGATAGAGCGAAACTTGGAAAATCAAACATATTTGTCAGACGTCCCGGATAAATGTGTAATTCTCTCTCTCTCTCTCTCTCTCTCTCTCTCTCTCGATTGTTTGTGAAAATCGGCTTTAGTATTCTTGTCTCACTTTTGTCAAGAAAGAAAAAAAACAAAGGCAAAATAAAGCAGATGCCAGATACAAAAAAAGAAGAACCTCACAGACGGCGAGAATAATAAAAAAAGGGACCCTGGTCACCGGTTGTCTCGTAAAAAATTCACTCGCGTGCCAAAGTTCGCACACCTACGCAAAAAAAAACATTTTTTTTTCTTCTCGTTTTGGTAATTATACTATTCCGCATTATTAATTTTCTCGGTATATATACGTTAGAAAAAGGACACACCACATTGGTCCGCAAAAGTTTAGAGGGGCCAACCGATCGATCGACGTGTATACTCGCTCGATCGAGGAAAAGTATCGGTAAATCTTGATTCTCGCGAGACGATTCGGCAGTGACGGCAGCATCGTCCAAGGTCCATCGCTTAAAAAGCCGTGTATCGAGAGAGAGAGAGAGACATATACGGCCAGGAGTCGACGTGCACATGGAACAAGGAAAAGAAAACGAGGGAGAGGGGAGGAAAAAGGCCTTTAACCGGCAACCGGCAAGAGTTGCTCGTGAGTGGGACTTTGACCGGCCGTTGCCCTCGGCTCGTACCTGTACGAGAGCGCACGAATCGACTCGAGCATGTATCAAGTATATAATATATACACTTACCTACTACCTCATACCTGCCCAACTTCTCGGTCTCGCGTGCGGGAGCTACTTACGTTGATCTGTACCCATACGTATACTTACACACAACCGATGCCTTCGCGGCCGATTTATCCTTCTCCTTTTTCTGATGGGGCCTTGGTATATTATTTCTCTTCCGCGCGGTGTGCACGAATCCTGTGTACCGTGAAAAATGCTCTTATATACCAGCACTTCCATTGAATCGGACCCTACGACTGTGAAAAACCGGCATCAGGTGTGGGTTACGTGACTTTTTTCACAAAGGAAAAAGAAGAAAAAAAAAAAAAAACATGTATGTATACCAAGAGCTGCTGAATATTTTGTTCCGTGACTTGTACGAATGATGTGTGGATCATGTATGGAATCGTTTCGAGAGTGCCGCCTTTTACGGCCGAGAGCAGAGCCGATCCTTATGCAAGGATGATAATGTACGGCAACGGAGGGAAAAAAAGTTCCTTCAAAAGCCATCGCTGATTGATGAATTCCATTTAATCATAATTTTTCTTTACTGTAGGCTTACGGGGATATTATATACATATATTTCAATCCGAAGCGATCGATCGATGGTTACTCAGCGCTTTTTCGCCGAAAGAATTTTTCGGAGATCTTTTACACGCGTAGGTACACACCGGCTCTAACATCAAAAAACCACGAGAGTCACGGAGTTGGTTTTTTTTTATTACTGTTTAATCATGCGTGCCCACACGCTATGTTTACGGAAAAATTGACGCAAGTGTTGTACAAATGTTTGTACACGCGCCAGAGTCGAGCGTCCTATAAGTATATACATATATACCGTCGAGCGTGAAATGTTTGCGCTGCTGAAGATCTTTTTTTTTTTTTTTTTTTCTCTTATTTCCTCACCTGGAGCCACGGGACATCGAATGCTATTTGCTCTTGGGGAACTATGAGGGACGAAATTGGATCACGAAACTATGATCCGACGTTTCGAGCTGGGGAAGATAAGACGCGCCAAGTGCAATAAAATACAACCTGAGGAGTTGAAAAGAAAAAAAAAAAAAAAAAAAAAAAAAAAAAAAAAAAAAAAAAAAAA